GCTTTCCCCACCTTGGGGGCTGCATGAGAGACACATAGGGTGGAGGACAGGACTTGGAGCAGGCACCTACATGCACACGCGTGAGAGGGCCCAGCTTGTGCTCCGCAGTCACTGAGCCCCTGTGTGTAGGTGGTGATGTCTTGGGCACAGGGATGCCATGTGCCCCGCAGTGCCCCTGTGATGTCACTCTTGGGGCATAGTTAGTGCCCAGTGGGTGCTTCTGGCCAAGAGCACTGGGCAGCACGTGGCCATGTCTTCACCCATGTTGGTCACAGTGCTCAGCGCTCGGGGACAGTGCTGTCCCACACGTGGCTGGTGCAGTTCTCCAGACACTGTGCCCCTAAATGCAGGCAGGAGAGGAAGGAGTGGAGGGCCGAGGAGGCCTGAATGGAGGCCAAGAAGAGCTGGAGGAAACTCTGCAGATGTGAAGTGAGGGCCAGCTGGCTTCCAGCAGAGGGACAAACACTCGCTGGCACAGAACCCCACGGCTGAAGGCCACGTGACAGGGTCAGGGGCTTCAGTGTTCTCCGGGCTGGCCCATAGCCTAGGAGGCAGAGAGCATTAGGAAACAGCAGGGCAGGGGCGACTGGGTTAGGAGATGTGTCCTGTAGTTCACAGGTCCCGCTTTTAATAGATTCTTCTTCACTGCCACATCATTTTAGAGCCTTCAAGCACATAGCAGCTCTGCCGAGCATGGTGGCACATGCCTGTCATCCCAGCACTCAGGAGGCTGAGGCAGGAGGATCATTGTGAGTTTGAGACCAGCCTGAGCTACAAAATGAGCTCACAGCCAGCCTGAACTGCATAGTGAGATCTTGTCTCAAAAAGACAAAAAAAAAAAAAAAAAAAAAAAAAAAACAGAGCACAGCAATTTATTTTCTCACTACTGATTAAGAAAAATAGCTGGGCGGGGTGGTGCTATGCCTGTTATCCAAGCACTCAGGAGGCTGAAGCAAGAAGGGTTACCGCAAGTCCAAGATCAGCCTGAACAGCATAGCAAGACTCTGTCTCAACAAAACACAAGCAAACATAACCAGAAGCTGTGTAAGCACGTGCGCCTGTATGCAGGTGACCGGGACACCACGCCCGGCCTGTGCCTGTCTCCACACCAGGTTCCCTAGACTGGAAAGCTTTTCTTAGAGTGACCATGTAATTTCTCATCTAGTCTGGCTCATTTTGGGAAACAAGAGGGATTATTATCAACAACTGTACCTGGGCAATAAGCAAAAGCCAGGATTATTCTGGGTAAAACAGAGCATAACATGGCTTTAACTAAAGATCCTGCTGGCCAGGAAGGGGTTTCTAGAGGCTGGGGTGTGATCAGATCCACAATGTAGCAACTGAATCACACTGTCTCTGGCTAAAGTCTTCCTGGAGTGAGCCGAGGTTGGGATGTGTCCACAGTCCACAGAGCCATCAGGTCCAGCCCAGTTCTCTGCAAACCTGTGTCCTGAGGGCATCTGAACAGTGACAAGGGCTGGATGAGGCGAACCTCAAGGAAGTGTCAGAGGTGGCCTGTAAGTCACCCTCAGCCACAGAAGGTCCAGCCCAATATCCTGTGTTTTTGTTGAAACCCAATAAATATGCCCAAGAAAAACACTCCCAGCCACCTCCGCTCAGCCACCCAGCCAGGAAGGGAAAGGCGATGCCCAGGAAAACATTCCAGTGGAATCGGAGCCCCACTGCCAATCAGCCTCCCGCAAGTCCTGATTCTGGCTCCCTGCTTCCTCCTCCTTGGGCTCCAATGGCTGGGAGAGGTGGGAACTTAGAAAAGGGGGCGGGGACCAGGTGAATAGTAACGTCCCTGGTTGAGTCTGCACCTGTCCTGTCCAGCTTTGAAATACACAAGACACAGAGCAACCACACTTTTGAAAAAGAACACAGTTGGAGGGCTCATATAATCCAACTTCAAGGTTTAGGCTAAAGTTTTATGCTATAATCCAGACAGTGAGGTATTTCACAACAGAGACAAAGTAGATCACCAGACAATGAAGAGTCCGGAAACAGAGTCCAAATGTACTGCCCACTGATTTTCACTAAATGTACGAAGACACTTATTGGAGAAAGGGTTATCTCCTCAGCCAGCTGTGCAGGAAAAGCTGGATAAATGATGAAGAAAAGCAAAACTTCTGTTAGTCTTCACATGACCTGCAAGAAGGAAACTGAAACAGATCTTAGGCCTCAACATTAACCTGAGTTTGCAAAATTTCTAAAGGACACGTAACAGAAAACCTTCATGACCTGCGATTAGGCAAACGTTCCTTAGACACAACACCCAAAACACAGTACTGTATATTAATAGCAGTTAATCAGTTGTACTTCTAAACTAAGGACTTCTCTTTGAAAAACACTATTGTTTTGTTTTGAGATAAGGTCTCACTATGTAGCCCAGACTGGCCTCAAACATGTGGTAATTCTCCTGCCTCAGCCTCCTGAGTGCTGGGATTATAGGTGTGCAACACCACACCCCGAAAAAGGTACTATTTTAAGACCGAAAAGCTTGGGAGGAAAAAGAATTTAGAAAAATTATTTACAGTTCACAGATCTGATGAAGAAATTGTGGCCAGATTATATTTTTAAAAAACAGATTTCTTTTGTATGGTTATGACAAAACACTCGACTCTGGATAACATATGAAAAAAATAGAGGTTTATTTGGGTCATGATTCCAGTGGCTAGAAAAGGGACCTTCCCCCACCCACAGAAGGAGCGCCTGTGCGGCTGAGAGAGGAGAACACAGAAAGCCAGCAGCAAGAGCCCATGTGTCCAGGCGCCAAGCTGATCTTTGAGAAGGACATTAGATCCTCCTGAGCTCCATGGACCTCCGGGTCTCATCTCTTAAAACCCCCACCCCCACCCCATGCCACCACCCTGGGGTCAAGCTTCCAGCACATGAGCCTCTGAGAACAAACCACATCCAACCAATGACAAAAAAGGGAAAATATGTCAACAGAACCTCATCTCCCCCAAGAAGGATGCTAAGGCAAATGAGTACGGAAACAATGCGCTCTATTGCTGGTCACTGGGGAAATGCAAATTTCAGTCACCGCACTGTGTCAAACTCCTCCGGACCCGAGCAGACAAAAACTGAAACACAAGTCCCGACCTATGCTATGAAGATTGGTTGGAACCAGAACCTCCTACACCACTGTAAGAATGTAAAAAGGTATAAACTACTTTGGAAAACAATTTCTTAAGGATTAAACATCAGGGGCTGGGGATTTAGTTCAGCGGCATAAGCACCTGCCTTACAAGTGTGTGGTTGTGAGTTCAGTCCCCGGTACTGATAAAAAGCAAAAAGACAAAAAAAAAAAAAAAAAATTAAACATACACCTTTACAGAGGTGGCCTGTAAGTCACCCTCAGCCACAGAAGGTCCAGCCCAATATCCTGTGTTTTTGATTAAAAAAAATACAGTGTGATTAAAAAAAAAAATACAGTGTGTGTTTCAAAAAACAACCTATTACAATAAAAGACACAGTACCGTCTCAAAATGCTATCCCTTCCCACTTTCTGAAGCATTTCTGAAGTCCTCTTTTATGAGGGTCCTTCGTTGGCTGTCGTGGCTGCCTTGATATCTTGAACTGATTCAAAACATCGATCTGTCATGGTCATTTTTTACTTCGACTAAGTCAGAAGCCACACAGCTGTGCCGTGAAGAAGGTGGAGGAGGACACGCCAGCATGTTTTCTCCAGCCTGCCTTTCTGTTGGACGGTGCTCAGCAGCAGTGTCCACTGTAGTTTTGGTCACAGCTCATAAAGACACTCAGGAAAGAGGACTCCAGAGCTGCTGCAGAAAGTGGCGGGAATGATGACATGAGTGTGTTTGAACTTCGGAGAGTTATTTTTAGGGGAATTCATGGCAGTGTCCCTGGCTGTAATAGTTTGTTTGTTCATTTGTCTTTTTGAAACAGGGTCTGTACTTCAGGCTGGCCTTGGGCTCACTTTGTAGCCCAGGCTGGTCTTAAATTTGCAATGATCCTCCTGCCTCAGCCTCTCAAGTGCTGGGATTACAGGCATGCGCCACCACGCCAGCTGTAATAGTTTCAATGTAAATATGCACTGTGTGTTTCAATCACGCATCTTAGTCTCCGATGATGCCTGCCGGAAACCAGCCATTATGCTCCCATTAAAGACAGTTGCTGGGAGCCGGGGATATAGCTCAGTGAAGAGCACCTGCCTGGCAAGTACAAGGTTCTGAGTTCGATTTCCAGTACCAAAAAGATTCTCAGAAAGAAAGAAAGAACAAAAGAAAGAAAAAAAAAAGAACGAAAGAAAGAAAGAAAGAAAGAAAGAAAGAAGGTGGGTTCCACAGGGAAGAAACCAGAGCAGACAGGAGGAAGTAAGACCACTGTCTTGAAACCCCATGGGCTCCCCACCTTGCCGTGTGGGTGTTTAGGAATCTAGGAAAGTGGTGCGGTTCCTTTCAATAGACAAATACATTTACTTAAACCTGGCACAGAAGACTGCAAAAGGGTGGATTTGAGAAAGGATATTCGAGCTTGCCAGTAAATTCCTTTTAAAAACAAAACTGCGTTTCTGATCTTGTGGGCCATGTGTGTTTGGCTGGAGGGCTGGGCACTGGTTAGCGCTAACTTGGGGTGCGTCTTTGAATGTTTCATTGCCTTTGCTTTCCCCGTCTCATGCATTTTGGACCCCTGTCTCCAGACAAGCAAGCAAGGTTCCTAAGAACTTGGGGTTCCGGGAAAGGATGAAGGCCTAACAGCAGACGGGGAATGTATCCCGGACAATCTTCATGCCTGGGGATCTACTCCTTCTCCAAAAAGAATAATCCTTCAGCTTCTCTGTCCAATTCTTTCTGAGACAAGAGTTAAAACTCGCCTCCATCTGAAGTTTATCAAGCAGATCTAGACTTTTCCGGGAGGATGTTTACAGAGGACTTCTAGTGTTGCCAAGGAAACAGGGAGCCTGGCAGATAGGGTTGCTGAGGGGTGGGCTCCGGGACGAGGGAGAGACTGAACAAAAACGGGCATTTCTTTACCTCCTCGCAGAATGCCTGCAGGCCAAGGGTGGCAGAGGGCAGCCTGCCACGGTAATCTCACTCCTGTTCATTGCAGAATTAGAATCAGTCCAGCAGCCGAAGTGTACAGCTCGGTTCCTCCTTGCTGCTCTGCTTGATTTCTTTCACAGGGTGGGGGACACCTCTGGGTAATAGTGCCACAGCTATGGGGCCGCTTAGCAGTGATCATGTGAGAATAGGTCATTTTTGGAGAATGGGGAATTCCAGAGTGTGACAGCTGTCCAATCACGATGCAGGCTGAGCTTGGGTTCAGTAACAGGGTGATTTTGCAGCCGTCTCTCTGTTGAGGTATTTACAGCTCTGAGCATCCCAGTTGTAGATCTCTAAATGCGACTGGTTTATTAAGTCTGGATTCACCATGGGAGAAATTTTATACACCAACACCTCCTTGGCTCTGAAGACAGATTTCATTTAGTGAATCCCTCTAGGATTAAAAAAAATTTTTTGGCATGTGATTTCATTTTTCATTCTAGAAAAGCAGTACTCCTGCAGCAGCCCCAGGAAGCAGTTTTTCTCTCTGATAAAGATGACTCCATTTCATCCCTGTACAGATAAGTTTTCATCATCATAATTAAGAGGGGAGAGAAATGATTCCCAGGGAGTTACACTGCGAGGAGTGTGGCTGTAGTTCATTTTAATTAACAAACTCCATTTTTGAATTGTTAATCTCTATTCCTTTCCTTTTTGTCAGGGCTAACATGAAATAGATTCCAACAATGGGTTCCCTCCTCCTCCTCCTTCCACGAGCTATTATATTTCAGGTGTCTTAGAGAGAAGAAAATGAATTTGCCCCATTTTTTAAAGCTAAAGTCTTGAACTATAAGAAAAAAGACCCTGTTATTCACACGAGCCTCTTTTTTGGGCTGAAAAAGAGACTCTAAGATCCCTACCATCCAGACTGCATCTATGGCCCAGGTGGTGCCCATTGTGTGTGGGGGGTCTGTATTCAGCAGGACACTGCTGCCTTGGACCCCAGTATAGAGAGAAACCACATGAAGTTCTCAGCTCTGGCCTTCAAGTCATGGGACGTACTAACAAGAAAGAAATTGAGGACCAAATATTGAGTTTTGTGGCTCTATTTTACACACACACACACTTTTTAATAGATTATTTCAAGAGCACTTTTAGATGTTCAGTATGTCTTTTTTTTTTAAAGAAGAAAAGCCACATGTCTCAACGTATTGTTCATAAAGATCTTTTGGAAAAAGAATAGCAATAAGGTGCTTTAAGCCACATCCTAGCATGGTCTTCCTAGGACCCCAGGGACTTCTGCCCACACTGGGGGATGGTGTGATGGCAAAGGCTCACTGCCAAGTACACTGTCCCCAAACCTCCCCGTTCTCCCCAGATCCCAGATCACTAATATCACCGTCTGGGTCACATGTACGCATGGGAGTGTCTGTGTCTTTTGAGTCAATACAGTGCTGCCCTAACTGAATGACAGGGCCATTCTGCCCTTTTCAATCAACAGTTTTCAATCTAGGGGACACAGATGTGGCTTCGAAGGAGGTCACCATGGGACATGTGGCCTGCACTATGGCCTGGGCTTGAGTTCTATGACAGCAGTAGATACACAGAATCTGTTCAAAGAATGAAATCAAAGTTTCCTGATTAAATTTGAAGCCTCCACTGATGTCCACTCCGTGAGTGCTGAAAATGTAAAATGTCACAGTCATCTGGGATGAAGGGTCCCAGTCCTTCATCACCGCCAACCCTACTAAGCTTGGAGTTTTAAGAGACTTTTGTTCACACACAGGCTGCTTTTCTTAAGTGACAACACGGTGCCATTATCTGTGAGTCCACATCACACCAATAGCAGCTGCCTTTTCCTGAGTGACACACTGAGGTACACAGCACTGTCTTACTCTACAGATGGGGATACTGAGGCTCAGAGACCTCAGCGATCTCCATCAAAGTCCCTTGGGTAGGAAGTGGACAAGTGCAGGCTGTGGAAGCCGAGTGGGCAGAGGTCCTGGACCTTGGGCAGCTCTCCATGGTGGGATCACACAGTCCATCCACCTGGGCAGCTCAGGAGTCCCCCAGCCCCTGCGAAATATTGGCAGTGGTATTAACACTCCAGGGATCTCCAGAAGCCTGTGACAGGCTCAGACAGGCAACTGATTGCTAAGTCCCAAGCCAAGGACAGAGAAAGAAGGACATTCATCCCTCTCCACTGGTGGGGACCTGGGAAAGGAGAAATCACAGCTGGCTGGGGCACTTCCCTTTCCCTCTCTGCAAAAGTACTTTTCCTGGGATTCCATTGCTCCTGCTTCAGCCTTCACCACCGAATACCAGGGCAGTGTGTTTATTTTCAATTCCCTCAGTTGTGTGATGTTGCTAACACGTGAGCCAACTGCTTCTTGTCTCTTTACAACAACAATCTGGGATCCGAAACCGCTGGCCAAGGAATACAAAGAGAGAGAGCGGGTCATCAGTCTTCAGCAGCTGTCCTCAAGCACGTGGTCTCACACTTCCGGTGGGGTTGGGGCCATGGAAGGAGAACTTTAAACAGATCTTACTGGGACTGCAAGAACAAATTACGCCCAAAGAGAGCAGGGAAAAGTAGATGTTAAAAAATAGGGTTTGTTTTTGCCATTAGTGTGGTAGCTCTCATTTTTGCGATAAGGTTTTACTAAGTCACTAAATTACCCAGGTGAGGTTCTAATTTGCAGTCCTCCTGCCTCAGCCTCCCTGAGTTCTGGGATTACAGATGTGCACCAAAACACCCAGGTGTAAAGTACAGTTGAAGAGCACTGTGAGCCGCTCCTCTCCCAGGTGAAAGGGCCGAGGAGCACCCACGTCTGCTGACTGACCATGAGACTGGCTGGGCCTGGGCACCCCTGGGTCCTTGGAGCACTCAAGGCACCCCGGGACATTTCCAGGTGTGGTTTGGAGCCTGCTGAAAAGAAGTGAGAGCAGGAAAAAATAATAAAACAAAAGCAACCCCACAGGAATGGGCACCACCAGGGAGGAAACCACGGGTCTGGGGAGGTCTTGGAATCACGGCTGCATACATATTGCGTTCCCTCGACCCCTCCCTACCTCCATGTCCCTTGTCCTCTGCAGTGCCTCAAAGCCCTGGAGTTCTGTCCACAGCCCACCTTTTCCTCAGGTAACTCACGCCTCAGTTAACCCTGTCACTTTGTAACATCACTTGAAATACTTCTCTCCAACTAAACCAAGAAAAAACGTGCACACCCCACTGAAATGCACTGTGTTAACACAGTGGGAGCCAGCGACATTGAGATCAGTACCTCAGTTAGGGCAGGTCTAGGACACTGTGTCTACACTGCCTGGGTCCCGAGTCTGTCCTCCTCCCACCCCGGCTGCAGTGTCACCCTCTGCGGACATCTGGGCTGCACAGCCGAACAGAAACCGGAGGTTTCTCCAGCCCTGAGGAGGCAGCAGCAGTCACCCCCATCCTCAGCCTCAAAACTTCATCAAACAAAGTGACCTCCTGACAAACCTGAATGCGCAGAATGGAGGTGTGTGAGCTGAGGGCTGCTTTTATCTGCTCTATGTATGCAAAGACTATATATTATGTTGCTGCCACTGACTAGCTTCTTCTCCTTCTTTTATTTATTTTAGTATTTTAATTATTTTATTTTATTTTTGAGAAGGGTCTTGCTATGTAGTTCGGGTCAAATTCGAGCTCACTTTGAGACATAAACTGGTGTCAGACTATAGCAATCTTTCTGCCTCAGCCTTCCAAGCCCTGGGATTACAAATATATACCATTATGCCTGACTAATTATGCATAATTTTTTTAAATGACCTTTTTGTTTCTGGAAGTTGTAAAGTCCATTCCCAAGTCATTCAAGAGAGTCTGGGAGCCAATATTGTGGCTTGTACTTGTGGTATGAGCCACTTAAGAGGCTAAGGCAGGGGACAGCTTGATTGCAAGGGTTGGAGATGAGGTTGGCCAAGTAGAGAGACCTTGTCTCAAAGTAAATCTAAAAATAAATTAAATGGAGAATGAGTGGTTTCACCTGTTCCCTGGGACCTGGCCACCCAATGTATGCAGAGACAGTTGCTTACTCTCAAATGACAAGTATGAAAACCAGGTCCATGTGTGGCATAGACTGGGGATCCCACGGCAGGAGGAGAGCAGCTCCTGGACCTCACACTGTCTTTTGCTTTGTCCCCTTGAAGCTAAAGGATGTGGGGCTGTGTTGGCACTGGGGAAGGGCCGCCAGCAGAAGCAAGCAGAGGGACGGTTCCCTTACACCTAGCAGCCCCGTGTCAGCTGAGGGCTGGGATGGTGCCTCAGTCCCTTCAGCCTCCCTAAGGAGGGGCTAGGGGCCACACCCTGGTGACTTATTAACCGGGATTTATTCCTCACTGCTCTGGGGCCTTGGAAGTCTGGGAACAAGGTCCAGGCAGCCCCAGGGGCTGGGAAGGGACCACCTTCCAGTTTATCTGGCTTCTGCTCACATGGATATGTGGCAGAGGAGAGATCCCTGGCTCTTCGGCTCCTTGAAAGGCCATTAATCCCTCTCGGGAGGTTGCTGCCATGGTGACCAATGCTGTGGCTCGTATGTTTACATCCCCTCCAAAATCCGTGTTGAGACATAATCCCCAACTTGAAATATGCAGAGGTAGGGCCTTTAGGCAGTGATTAGGCCATGGGGGTTCCGTTTTCTAATCCAGAGAAGGATTAATGCCTTCTAAGAAGGCTGGAGGGAACTAGCTGGGCCTTTTTTTTCCCCCCAAATTCTGCAGTGAGGCTACAGCCACAGGCACCATCTTGGAAAAAGAAAACAAGCCTCACCCAATGCCAAAACTTCTGGAATCTTCATCTTGAACTTCCGAGCATCCAGAGGTATGAGAGAAAAGACCACTTTTTATTGCTTGCTGTCTTCACTATTTATAGTACAGGAACTGTCTAAGACACTACAGACCCCACTCAGGCCCCCTTCCTGATCCATCTCACTGAGGGGTAGGCTCCATGCATGAGTTCTGGGGTCCCCAAACAAACAGTACAGAGCAGGGCTGCAGGGCACCCCCCCCAACACCCCAGACCCAGGGGGGAAGAGACCTAGCCAAAGTCACGCCTCTGTGGCCCTTTGACTCTGCAGTTCTGACTCTGCACAGTGGCCTGCCTCGTCCCTCGGGAGGGCCGGCAGCTCTGAGGGGAGAGCTGACCTTCCCTTGGAAGACGGGCTAGTGCCTCTCTAACGACTCATGTCTCAGATGCGGCTAATGGTGGCAATGAAACGATAATGAGAAAGTAACACAGGCTTTCAAAGTGACTGCTCACAAGAGTGAACATTAAGCCCCATTTGATTGTCCCCATTAGCAGTTCCAGGGGGACATTACGGGGACACTTCCTGGGGTTT